TGGTAGGCAGAAGGCATCTGGAATGCTTTCAGTGTTCTGTTACAGTACAGTAGGATTCCAATCCAGGGCACCAAAAGTAAGTGCCCATCCATTTCTAGTTACAGTTCCCACTGCTGCCTACCCTCTGCCTCCAGCTTTTAAGACGACTAGAAGAGTCCACAAGAAAAAAATAATAATAATCCAATAATACAAATGTAGCAATCTGCTTATAGCTGCCACTTGGTTGCAGTGTTTAGTAGGAAGCTGCCACACCTCACAAAATGATCCAGCAGGATCTCCTGATACTTGCTATGCAGTCCCACAACAACCTTTCTTCTAACCAGACCTACTCCAATCCTAAAGACATCTGGAGTCCAACTGGAGTACATCAATATCAGCTACAGGCAGGGTCCTTCATGCATCTTTTGGCATCTGTTACGCTGAGTTTTAGAAAATATTAAGGGAAAAGGCAGCAGCAAATTAGATTTATTTTTAAATCCGAACTATCATAGTGAGCTTGAGACCTGCCAATCTCACCGCTTTTTTGTTCTGAGGACTTCATGCTTGTCAAAGCTGATTTTCTCTGCAATAACACTTTGAAACATAGAAGACTTATGTTCCTTAAATACAAAGAAACAGTTCTGCTAATACAGAAAGAGGAGTCCAAACTTCACAATCCCCACTTTGAATCTGTTAGCTCTGATTATATCAATTTATCCACGTTACTTAAAACAGAACTGCTCAGTTCCCAGTGATGGGACAGTCACACACTTCAAACAAGGTAGATGCTCACACTCCCAAATTCTCAGTGACAAAACCAGTCACATAGCCACTAAGCCAGTACATTCACGGACAAAATAGCTAAAAATACATTGAAATATCAGCATTGAAATAGATGCAACTGGCACAGAAGAGTTGTCTTTCCTTCCATTATCTCTTCACAGATAAATATTTCTTGCAGTATTAAAGTTAAAGCAATTAACCATGGGGCTTGGACCAGCTGTCAATGGGACAACACATTCATTTTTATCAAGATTTGGAACCTACTGTGACATTCAGTTCTATCATCCCTGAAATGGCTCTAGACCAGAGTACAAGACAGCGAACATGAGATCAGAGCCAATCACAGCCAACTGACTTCTCACAGCCAGCAGAGTTTGAAATTGACAGCAGTTTGCAAGAGGCATTCTACCAACCAACCACTTCCACCCCTTTGCAGTACAAAGTGTAGGGGGAATTGTAGTCCTCTTTTACAAGTACTTCAGCTGTTTACATCCTGCACGTCTTTTAGAAAAGTATATACAGAGTTGGCTGCTCAACTATAAGAGCACTCAAGATAAAACAATGAAGCCTTCCTGGGAAGAGTGTGGCAGGATTAGTAAGCAGATCTATGATGCATTTTCTACATAGTTTACAAGGCCTTCAACAAAACCCCATCTTGACTGCAGACACTACACTTCACAACAGCAAATCATGTGCCACTAGTTCGAAGGTTACCTGATTTAATCTTGGACTCCTATTAATAGTGTACTAAAGCATAGTGCCCCTGTGAACAAATCTCATGTAACAAGCAATTTCTAGCTAGATATGTTAACATTTAGCCTGGCTTACCAGAAAGCAGGGCCTCAGAACTCAGCAGGTTTTGCTGCCCAAGCCACAAAGCAGCCACAGCATGTTCTGTATGCTTGGTGAGATGAATGATAAGAGCTACCAAACACTTTAGACACAAATGTTTTTCCTGCCCAGCTAGAACTGTTCCCTGGAACATTTCCTCCATCTGTCTTCTTCACAATGGATTTATTTTTGTAATGAAGCCTACATACAGCTACATCTATCTGCTCAAGTTTCACCTACATTTGACCTCAATTAAGGAAAGTTACTTGTGTTTTATTGTTTTGTTAATTAAGTATTTATTAGCAAATCTTAAGCTAGCATGTTAGTGGTCATGTTTCTTTCACATGAAGAACTGATTACACAGTTATGCCAGTGTTTCCTGTTCCTGTAAACCACAGCTCAAGAAATGATGCTTAAAGTATAATTTCAGTTGAGCCTGCAATTGCGGCAGATGGGGCAGGAAACTGAAGCGACTCCTCTAGCAGGAGGCCTGCAGCTTTCTCTCTCAACAAGCACAAACATGTGACCCACTCTCTGCAAAGTATAACAAAATACCTAAACTTCTTTATCTATTCCAGCTCTGACTGTTCTGTCAGAACTAGAAAGCAGCAGATAGCAAACGTGAATCCAGCTTAGGGTGTGTCTCCAGATTAAAAGGAGGCTGTAAGCACCTTGTAATGCAGTGTCAAAACACTTGGATTCATCCTAACAGCAGGGAACACTGCCTCATAAGCCTCTCCATGACATATTCGGGATTTTTGGTCTGATTCATGATAAAAAAAGTCATTCCACAACTGCAAGTCCTCATCAGGCTAAAAAGCCTCAACTGCACTTTACACAGAAGTCTCTTAACCTGAGCTAATTCTGTTGATCTTACTGAATTTTTTGCCTTTTTTAGGAAGTAACTCTTCACTAATCATTACTATTGTTTGAAGAAAGGCCTTCCAAAACCTTTAGTAAGTACTGTGTTCTCAATCTTTAAGGGTTGAATTTGATTTCTTTTAATACTCCAATGTTTAAAATTAAAAGCAAAAATAAGCAAACAAACAAAAAGGAAAACTCTAAAACACATTAATCCACCTCATCTCGGAGATCTGGCATGCTGGTATTTAATACACCAAGAAAAACAGAAGTCAATTAAGTATGTAATTAATATCTATTTTAAAACGATAACATTAAACTACTTAAAAAAAAAAAAATCAGGGTGGATCCTGTTTCAACTTCCCCTTATGGAGGGGTGTGGTTATTTTGTTTGGTTCTCCCCCCCACTTCTCTCGATGTAAGAGATACGGTCTTTCAGTTTAAGATCACAAGTCCCTAGGCCGTTTCAGAACATTCTGAGTGAGGAAACATCCAGAGCCTTCCAGTCTGCTCCTTCCTGTTTTATCAACGAAGGGCAGGGACCAATTCCTTCTGCAGACAGGAGAAATTAAATTGAGAAGGAAAAAAAAAAAAAAAAAAAAAAAAGCGCTCCCTATTAGTCACTGAACTCCTGTTGTAACAAAGAGTCAAGTACGGACTTGAACAGACTTTCTGAAGTATCAAGATCTCTCCAGCCAAGAAATACTTGGAGTCAAGCTGGGACAAACCTCCCCTAGCAACCTAAACTGACTAATTACAGTTGTGAAAACCCCAAACTTCTCCTCTGCGCAAAGCACACGAGAGATAACCATAGATTTAATTAATTCCCCATCGGGTTCTCCAAAGATTCACTCAACGCGCTCACAACACAGAAGACGCCGGCAAAGCAGAGCAGAGCAAAAAGGCGCCTCTTTATTCAGGCATTTTACAGAGGAGGACAGGCGGCATCCGGGCGGAGCTCCTCGCTCGCCGCTGGTCAGGCGGCCGCCTCCCGCCCGGCCCGGCCCCTCCAGGCGCGGGATGCTGCGGCGGGACAGGAAGCGACCGGCGAGGAGCGCGGCGCAAGATGGAGGGGCGGGCGGATCCCTCCCCACCCGCCGCATCCTCACCGCCGGGCCCGCGCTGCACTCCCCAGAGACCCTTCCTCCCTCCCCGGGTCACAGCCGATCGGCGGCCGCCGCCTCCGCCGATACCTCCGAGGCCCAGCCACCAGGAACGCGGCGAGCCCGGCCGCGAAGAGCTCCCGATGCCCGACGGGGCGGGCAGCCGAGGCTCCGCCGTCCCAACCCCGCCGTGCCCCAGAGGAAACTCGGGGCCGGACAGCCGCCTCACCCTCCCGGAGCGGCTCACCGTTTTCGGCATCTTCCCGGCGTTTTGGGCACGGCGGGCCGCTCGTCCTGCGCTGCTGGGGTTCTCCGCACTGCTTCTAACGGGATTCTCTCGCCCGCCTGTCCCGGCGCAAACCCCACCCCGCCGGCGGCCGCCTTCTTTTGGGGCTGTACCGGGGCGCGGCCCGGCCCCGTTAGCAGGGCGCGGCGCTTTCCTGCCTCGCGGCGTCGGAAGGCGGGGCCGGGAGACGCCGCCGGGACTACTGCAGGCCTTGCCCCGCTGGAGGGACCCTTTGCGAGGCGGCCTCGGAAGGGGAGCGGCGTTGGTGACGGCGGCTGAGGCCCACCGGGGCAAAAGCTGAGGAGTGGTCCATCGTCCCCGAAATCAGGTGCCCGAGAAACCGGGAAAGCCCCGGGTTCTGAAGTTCATTTGCGTATCTGATGTCACTGGGATTTCTGGTCCTTACTGAAAGCATTATTTTGAACATTAGCTGCGAGTTACGGGCAATTGCACTTATCAGAATAAGAGGACGGCAGTGGTGGTGATAGATCTTTTTGTCTTATTTAGTCTGAGTCATGTGCAGCTCAGAGGTACTGTGGTAAGTCAATGGTCTCTTTGACTCATGAGCACATTCATTGAGCATGCTGTCATGTACAACGTTCTCATAGCTGCCTGTTTCACTATAAAGCACTCCACCAGCTTTGGGTATTTGAAAAGCATAACCAAAGGGGCTGTGGCTTCCCGTAGTTTGGCAGACACACCACTCCTGGTCCTCAAGCCTCTTCAAAGGCCGTCACCATAATGACATGATATAAATGAGCTGTCAAATCCATTGATGAAAAATGAGGACCACTCCAGAGTTTCCTGTGATATCTCTGGGAGGGAGCCACTGATGGACAGAATCAAGTTCCAACATTTTTACAGGGTTTCAAAGAAGGCATTTGTATAATCAATGGATATCAAGATGTTACGATCACAAAATAAACAAGAGAGTTAGGCGAAGTGGACTATGATAACAAAAGAGAAAAAATGGAAGGCTTACCCTTATGCTGGGCTCACCACAAAACACCAGAAGGAGGGATCTCCAGACCAGACCCTTCCCCCCTGGTAGCCAGCTCTTAAATAGGTCTAGGAGGGGGGGGAGCCTGGCTCCACCCCTTCCGGCAGCACAGGTGAATTGAATTGCCTTCACCTGTGCTCCTCTGGCTGGCTCATGGCTCGCCTCAGGTGATCAATCAGAGGTTCAGGCCGTGACTCAGCAGTTCCCACACAGCACTTCATCTCATTTGGGATTTTGAACATAACTGTAAAAAAAAAATATATATATATGTAATTTTTAAAGTTAACAACTTGCATCTACAGGAAGAAATTTAAACATTCTCAAGAATTGTAATGATTAATTTTTAAGGAAATTTTTAAGGAAAAAAGTCACTGGCTTCCTAAGGGTCTATTTTACATAGTTGCCTTTTTCCTTTTCTGACTCATTTTTACTCAGAGTTTTTCATGACAGTGTTCCACTTTCTTTTTTTTTTTCCTCCCCCGACAGAAAATGATACTGACAGAAGAGCTCCAGAATAACAAAAGGATTTACTTGTGATTTTAACAAATCATAGGGGGTGTGCATGGTGCCAGGTTTGAATTCAGGATTGTTAAGAGGTTTCCCACTGATTCAAAGTTGCCCTATGGAAACTTCTTTGTCTCCTCTTCTTATGATAGGGAAAGTTGTGTTCTTTTTCTGTTGAAGCTTCTATTCCTTCATAAGACTGAGGTTACACTTTGGGGGATTTAGTCATTCTTTTTCATAGAGATAAAAGAATGCAGATGATGAAAGTCTAGCTATTTTCTTGCTACATTGAAGGAATTACAGTTTAGCATTCAAGGAACTGATGTTTTCATCATAGTGCTTAGGACAGTAGCCATGATGCAAAGGAAGTCCCTTGCTAGTGAAACAATTGGATCCAAAGTAATCATATTTGCACTCAGGGTGTGCTGGACATTGCCTGTGTACATAGAAAGTCACTAACTATATGTCAAGCAGTCTGTAAGAAGTCTGAATGGGTGAGACAAAGCAAAAGAAAATCTTCAGCATGACAGACACTTCTTTCTCACCTCACACCACTTCTCTTGTCCTTCTCTATTGCTAGTAGCAATAGCTAAAACAAAACACTATTGATGCGATGTTGAAAGACAATGGATCCTTGTGACAGGCACCAGCCTCCAAGCTTTACTTTCTGACCTACTTCTTCCTGTCCTCTTCCCTTAGAATGAGACATCTGAAATGTCTATGCTGCAGGATTCTCCAGCTACAATATCTTCAGAAATCCCTGCTATGGATGTGCTGCACCAAGATCTGACCTCTACCACAGACCTCTCCTTTGCCAGCTTCTGAGAAAGGATTGTCGTATCAAATAGTCCATTTGCTAAGCTATCTTTAAAGGCCTGGCCATGTGTGAAAACAAACCCATTCATGGATCCCTTGAGAGCTACAGACAAGACTTATCTTTCCTACCCAACTGAAGGATGAGATTTTAAGGGGTAAAAGAGTCAGCTGTCAAAATCTCCTCCTTGGAGGAGTCTGTACAGATAAGTAACAGCCTAGGGCCTCAAAAATGCCATTATTTCCAGCCCACTCAGGGCCGAGATAATATTCAAGTATTTCAGAATTTTAAGCATTCTTCTGGGAGAAGACCTGGTATTTCTCTGGGGATTTATTATCTTGGTTTTCTTCAGATCACATATTCTTTTAGATAGAAAAAGCACATCAGTGATGTGGTCTGGAAAAAAAAAAAAAAAAAAAAAAAGAAATATTTAGCATGAGCTCTTTCTTCAGTATATAGTTTTCTTGGGTTAATGCTGGGTAACTTTAAACTTTCCCATAGCTATGAAAGAATCATAGAATTTGGGTTGGAAGGGACCTTTAAGATCATCTAGTTCCAACCTGCTGCTATAGGCAGGGACACCTCCTGCTAGATTAGATTGCTCAAAGCCCCATCCAGTCTGGCCTTGAATGCTTCCAGGGAGGGGGCACAAACCCATTGAGGACAACTGTCCAGTCAATTCCTTATTCGGTGAATGGTCCAACCATCAAATCCATTTTTCTCCAATTTTGCAACCAGGATGTCATGAAGGACAGAGTCAAACGTCAAGTCCACATAGATCACAGAATCACCAAGGTTGGAAAAGACCTTCAATATAATCCAGTCCAACCATCCACTTATCACCAATAGATGATGTCAGTTTCTCTTCCTTTATCCACTGTAATTCCATCATAAAAGGCCACCAAGTTTATCAGGCATGACTTGTCTTAGTGAAGCCACTTTGGCTACCACCAATCACCTCTTTATTTTCCATGTGCCATGGTAGGGCCTTCAGGAGGATCTGCTCCGTGATCTTGCCAGGCACAGAGGTGAGGCCTGTAGTTCCCTGGATCTTCTTTTATTTTCCTTCTTGAAAATAAAGTTACATTTCCCCTCATCCTATCAGTGGGAACTTCACCAGACCACCATGATCTTTGTCACGTTGTTTGCTTTCTACACTTTAAAAAATTTTCAGCAATGGGAAGAACAAGGGGGAATCTAGCAGGTATTCTGGGACCTAACTCCAAATATTTGCAGCTCAAGTAATAGGTAACACAGCTAGCAAGGACGAAATAGTGAATGGGCATAACCTTTGCCAGTTTGGGTGAAAGGCAGTGATGTAAAAATGCTGAGAAGGCTAGGTAGGATTGGAACAACAAGAGCTTTAGAGACTGACACTGCCACCTTCTCCTCAGTGCAAGAGGATGGGCAAAAGTACCCCCGAAAGTTATCAAGAGAGATTGTTTGTATGGATGATGGAGGGATTAACTCATACTTTTTTAACTGGACAATTCAAAACTTTGTATGTACAAAACCTAGAAAATCTTTTATCTAAAAGAGCTCAGCCCAGCAAGTGCTTATATACAACAGTGACAAACTTTGTTGCAGAAAGGGAGATGAGCTGGATTCTTAAGCTAAGATCTTCAGTTGTGCCCCAGAGCAGCAGGCTCTTCTCGTGGTATTGTTTTTTTTCCCCTCTCTCTCCTACTGAGCTTCCTTCTCAGGCATTTGGTATGGGGTTGAGTTAATGGTACTAGTGTGATGACCGTGTAGGACCCCTGCCTTTCTAACTCAGAGATCAGGAATTCCAAAACTATAGTTAAGGACACCAGGCAAGTCCTTCTGTGCTCTGGACAGCCTGGTCTGGTTGTTGGCAACTCTGCCTGTGCCAAGGGGGGTTTAAACTAGATGATCATTGAGGTCCTTTTCAACCCAGGCTAAACTGTGATTCTATGATTCTGTGTTTCCCACAGAGCCCCTCAGAGGCTGAGTACTGGGCTGCAGTTGGCTCTTATACAGGTGACCACTGGATAGGAGTCTATCAGGAATGCACTTATGCAATGAGGGTTTCTGAACACTTCAGAATGTAATAATCAGGAGTAAATGTATACAGAGGCTGCTCAAGAGAATGAAAAAGGGCCAAGAAGGACTCCCAGTACTGAACAGGAACCAGGGAGAAGCTAGTTGTGAGTGGGTTATTCAAGTCAGTACGTTCTGGCTGTTTAAAACAAAATCATGCTGAGAGCATACGGATCACCAGCACCCACAATGAAATACCACAGCTAGACTCTAGCTGCAAAGAGAGCCTGATCATAACAAGAAACAGTGGAGGCAGGCTCGTGGTGCTGTGATACATCGGGTAGGGCATGGTGATTGCTAATATTCAACCACAAAGGCTTTTAGTCCATGCACAACTATGGAGAACAGCCAGGGCTTTTTTCTATTTGGTTCATGGGATGACAAAGGAGGAGCTCTATGGTCAGGAAGGAAGGAGGGTTTGCAAGGTATATTAATCTCTTGCGGAATCAGCAGAATTATACCAGGGCTGAATTTGAGATAAATGAAGCGAGACCAAATTATTGTGGCAATTCTTGCCAAGTTTATTAGAAATATCAGAGTTCTGTGCACAAGTGTCAGTAGTTTGCCTGCCCTAGTTCATACTGAGTGTGACAGAGACTGACAGTCTTCGTTGATCTTTCATAAGATCACAACAATTTCTGCAACAAGATGTCAGTGACATTATGAAAGAAAAGGTAATTTAAACCATTCATATATGGTTTTCCATATTCTCATTTATACCCCTTCCTCCACCCCCCTCTCCCCCCCACACACACACAAAAAAAAAAAAAATCACATAAGGTGATTCATTAAAGATTTCCCTGGGCATTATGCCAGCACCCATGAAAAAAATCTTCAAAAACCAAATGAAGAATCTCTGACCATCCAGTAATTGTTTGTTGTTGCAGAAAATAAAGAAGGAAAGAATGCGTGGAGGAGGAAACAAAGAGCTGGGTTTTATGGGAATAGAAAGCAGTGAACAGGAAAGAGAGCTCTGCAGGGACAGCAATAACAAATCTCATCTCTTCACAAGTCCTGTGGCTGCCATCTACACAGGATCTGCCAACACTGCTCAAAGATCACAGGTTTCTTTTTCATATAAAAATGACTAATTTGCTTCTCTCTGAGCAAAGTAAAAGTACCTGAGACGCTGCAAATTCACAAGCCCCATACTAAGGGAAAATCAGACTGTTGAAATACTGTCCTTTTTATATATAAATTAATTAATTAAATAAATATGTTTTTTAAATATATTTATATATATATTATATTTATATATTTATTTTATATATATATTGGGGGGGACACGACACAGAGTCTAGAAGATAGCTTTCCTTAGTCCTGTAAGCTGCACCACCAGTGGCAGACTGGATGGTTTTTCATTCTTTATTAGCCCAACTATAAAATTAATGTAATAATATTGGCTCTCTTAGAGGTACAGACAAAATTCCCATGTTCAGGTTTCAGGCAACAGTGCAAATGCCATGCTATATTTTGTGTTAATTATTTGTTAGTAAACATTTACACACGGTGTCTGAACTCTTAATTGAAAATAATTGTTTCCTGACTTTTTTTAAATGTTTGTGGTTTTTTTTTTTTTTTTGAGACGGTCAGCACAAAGAGTGCATCCAGCCTGGCCCTGAGCATCTCCAGGAATGGGATATCTGGACAACCTATGCCAGGGCCTCACCGCCCTCTGAGCACATTTAACGTAAGACTCCCCACTTTTAGTTTAAAACCATTTCCTCTTGTTCTATCACTATCAGATCATGTTGAAATACCACCAGATGAAGTTTGCATAATAGATGTAGATAATCAAGGAGTCTAACTCTCCACATCTTACTACCATCATGCACAGCAAAAGATTTAATTTTCTTCACTTGAAAAATGTTTCTTTACTCATGTTGCACAGTTGCCAAGAACAGCTGGAAAGTCAGTCAGGTACCTACCTGATCCACTTACACTGCAGATGCACAAATACTGTTTGGATTTGAACTTCTCAATACTATAGCATATCTATTTGTACACTCTGTTCTTTATAGGAAGTGGTGGTACACCCTGCTAACTTGAGAATTTCCTTGCCTACATGACAGATTCAAACAGAGTGAGAGAATAATAGACCCTGACATTGGTCTTGACTAAGGGTATCAGTAATCTCAGGGTACAACCCCAATGCTATGTGAGTGTGCAGGAACGAGCAGGTACCAGAGGAGGAGAGCTTTTGTCACCAACTCAGCAAAAGCTGCATTTTACCAAAGTGTGGGGCTCTCAAGAACTCTTAAAAGCAGCCCTTGGTCTCTTGTGCAGATCTCCTTGTCCACTTATCTCCTTTAGGTCCAACTGAGACAGCAGAACATAAGCCCTCTTACACACAGTCTGCTTCAGGATCCTGTTTCACAAATTTGTGACTCCAGAAAGCCGCTCACTGCCTTCTTACATACACAGGAAGGCCCAAGCAAGTGACCTTTAATGTTCCCAGCCTAAGACCATCTCCCCTCTGCACTCGCATAATGCTATGATGTGATGGAAAGTACAACAATAATAGCAGGGTAGCAAAATCCTAGATTACAGAAAATGAAAATAAGCCCAAATGCAACAGCTGGATGCAGACTGAAAGGAAGAAAAAGTTTACTTACCTTTGGAAGGCCTCAGGCATGCAGGGATCTCCAGAAGGATACCCTCACCTTCACTGCCAACCCTTAAATGAGGTCTGCATTTGCATGCACCTGAGCTCCCACCAGGTGCTCAATCACTGTGTCAAGCCGCAACTTAGCATTTCCTCTACAACTCATAGGCCATTTAATAGGGCCACTGTGGGAGACGGAACACAGTTATTCCTCTAAGTTATCTATCATAAGTAGCAGTTGTCTGTCCTGAACTAGTAGCCAGTAAATAAGCTATGTGCTCACCCTCAGGCAGCCCTACTTCTGATGTTGGCAGTAGTTTGGGTTGTAGTGCATTCAGCTGCAGGCCAGTACGGCACGCAGGCTGTAACCAAACTGGATTAAGAAGTTTTCACCCCTCCTGTTATCTCTACAGATAATTCTCATGGGAATCACCAGTTATTCAGCCACTAGACTATATTAGTAAGCTGCATCTACACTAACTTTTTAGTTCAGATCAGGAGTTGCTTTTTGAAGTGAATTTCCTGTTCACTGCACTTCATTTCCTGTCGTGATATAGCCTCGTAATTAGTAGACTAAATTCTGTTTGAATGAAAATAGGCCAGAAGATGTGCTCCAAGAATACACCTAATGAGCTCCAGCAATAATTTGGTTAACAAGACAAGAATAGAGCATCTCCAGTATAAGCTCCCTCTGCAAATCATTTCATGTTGATGTTAGATATTTAACAGCAGCTGTTTTGTTTTCCAGATCTGCCTCTATTATACCACACTACTTAACGTAGACACACTTACCTGTCAAAGTAATCCAGGATTGCCTTTGTGTCTATTGAACCTGTTTAAGCATTTTTATTAGGACAGATTTTAAACTACCTCAGAGCTGGTAGAACTAAACAGGGGAGCGAGGAGAAATGCAGATTTACTGCTAGATTTACTTTACCCACAAGTTAGCACTCACACACAGAGCTGCTGGCATTGCTGCTTATAAACCTAGCTTCTCCCTACTATTCCAGGGCTCTTCACTGGCTCTGTGATCCAGTTCACACAGAGCAGAGCAGGAGGGAACTGTCTCCACATGAACATTAAGTCAGTGCTCCCCACTGTACTAAAACTTCATCAAAATTGATGCACTTCAGTCTTAGCAAAAAAGAGGAAAGAGGAAACTGGCCCATGATTCCAGCTAGTGACATATAATATGGAAGATGATCTCAGCACTGTTACAGACAAATCACCCTTTACCATTTCTTTCCGTGGCATCATTCATTTTTTCCTGAGATTTAGATCTATTTTTGGAGGTCATAAAAATACACAGGGAGTTGCCAGTCATTTTTATTCCAGTGCAGGAACATTATATACAGAAGATATTATTTTTGGCTCCTGCTTGAATTTTTGTATTTTTTTTCTCCAGGTGAGAACCAAACCCTGACAGAAGATAATGTTGTCTAGATAACTATAACAGCTGCTTCTGTGCTAGGACGTGGAGCAGCCCCAAAACAAATAATTAATTGTAAAAAAAATCTAGAGCGTCATTGTGCAGGAGATGCCTGGGGCTGGAGTATAATCTGAAGTGTTCATGATACTTCTCCTATCCAGCTTACTCACAAGTGAAGGGAACTCCCTCCCACCTTGTTAACACTACAAAGTGCAATCTGAAGTCAGCGTTATGTGACTGTGAGAGGCAGACACCCCCAGGCAATACCAATTCCCCCCAACACTCTACTTGCAGTCCTTTTTGATCCGCATCTGAACACAATGGTACAGCACACACTGCCTCAGTTAGACACGGACATGGCAGATAGTATAACTTGTATTCCCTAGATTTTTACAAAGTTAAAAAGTTAAAAAGTTACAAAGTACTCCCTTGCCATTCTATCTCTGTTCTTAAAATGCACAGTGTTACAGTAGGTCACTCAAAACAGGGATGGATAGGTGGGTAAATAGATTGATAGATATGTAGATAACAGATGGATAAGTAGATGTATACATGCACACATACATACAGTGTTCTTAGAAATTTTGTCCTAAAAGTGACTGCTATTCAGCAATAGACACAAAGAAGCAAGTACTCCATCCCAGTAATGCCTGTTTTGTTTCAGGAGGATTCTTCTATCTTCGTGGGGACTACAAGCTTACATTTTCAGAACAGCCATAAAGTTTTTCCTCTGCCTCACAGTTTTTTCTCTCACTCAACTAATTTCTGGTTTTCAAATTGCTTGTCCTGTTTTGTTTGTTTTTCAGAAAATTCCCTGAGTTAAAACTGCAAAAAAGCCCTCAACGTCAAAACCAGTCTTCCAAGCCTAAACATATTTTGAGACAATCTCCAAGCCTAGATGATTTCTCCCTTCACGAACAGAAACATCCATACCCAGCAATCCTGGGGGCAGAGCGGATTTGTTCACTGCTGCAGATGTCTCTGTTCATTGCAGGGGAGTTGGACTAGATGACCTTTAAGTGTTCCTTCCAACCCAACTGATTATATGAAGTTTGTACAGTGGTTTGAAAATACAGAAGTCCTCCATATCATTCTGTTTTAGAAACCATACAGCTATCAGCATACCTAAGTCCCTCTCAGTGAACGATTCCTTCTCAGCATACAGCTAATCATTAAGCAGAAAAGATGGATCCTCAAGAGCACAGGAAATATCAGAAGTCCCCACTGAAGCCAGAGAGTTAGATGGCCTTCTGACACTCTCAGGGCTGAGTCACAACATACCAAACTTTTGTTTGTGAATGGGCCTTTGGGATTTCTGTGCTGAGAGAAGCAGCAGGGCATGGATCAAGCTGTGTCTTCCCTGAACCACCGCACAAGGCTTCACTAACTTGTCAGCAAGCATCCCTGGACTCACAGTGCTCCATCTTTTCAGAGGGATCGTGGAGATAAACAGCGTGCAGCAATTTCCTATGGCACCAAATACCAACCATATGAGTGGAGCCTCATAGTTTAGAGTGCTAAAGTCTGTCTCTGCAGGGAAGAGCAAATTGCCTCACACAGAGCTCTAAGACTACCACAGAACACTTGTTGTCCTCTGCTGACAGCTACCAGAAGAGCACCGAATCAAAACCAGTCAGCAGGCACCCGGTTTGCTGGAAGGAGTTTGATCTGATGCATGCTTGTACTCCCTAGTTACTGTTCACATCCCTCATAGCAGGACATCCAAAATAAGGAACAGACCTACATGTTTTGAAACACATTGAGAACTAGAGAATGAGTTTGAGATTTTTTTGCTTCCTAGCTACACCAAAATAACTATTTTCATGTTTGAAGTAATTATTTTCATTATTCTTATCATTGTAGACTTCAATATGTATATATGCTCACACTTACCCAGTTCCAGGACCTCAGGATTTTAAAAACTCAAAGCTAAATCATCAACACTGGCACTATTGCTTTACTTCACTACAATGAACGTCAGTGTTAAAATAATAGAAGACGTGGCTCCGTATCTCTGAAAGTGTTTAAACTAACGCTCATGTGAAAGAAGCCTTAGTTCTAAACTTTACACTGTACTGGATATTCTCTCTGAAGGACTGGCCCGCAATACTGACCATATTTTATTACTTCAAGTCATACTCTGACTATTGTATGTTTCATAATCCATGAAGTTTGACTTCTTAATCATTTTGTCATTGGCTTTTTCATCTCATGCTGTAAATCAGCATTACAGAGATAAAAAGACACTTCTGGTTAAGATTTTTGCATTTGATAAAAGCAGCAAAAAAAAAAAAAAAAAAAAAAGTAATTTACCTCCAACTCTCCAAGTCATTAATCAGAAGTTTTCCATTGTGTTCTCTAGGAGTTGAGTAATGACACAGCAGTAATGTGTTGTGTTGATCCTCCTCCACTGTGACATCTTTCTGCCTTCTGCTTGAGTTGATACACAAAGAGCTAGGAAACATCATAGGTCTTGTTTTGCTTTCGGCAGCTGTAACGATAGGGTTTCCCCTCATCTCACACCCACGCTGCGTGTTTCCTCAGGATTCACACCAGTAAGGTTAAAACTGCACAGCAGAGCCATTTTTTCTATTTTTGATTATGAAAAAAAAAAAAAATCAACAATAAAGAGAGCAGCAACCACAACCTATTAGCCTTTTCTTTGTCTACTGGCATCCACAGAATCACAGGGGTTGGAAGGGACCTCAAGAGATCTATTCCAACATCCTCTGCTAAAGCAGTTCATATATGCTGTAGGTTATTCCTCAAGGATAGCTGCTGACAATACAAGCATAAGCACAATGGGAGAAAACAACAGAGGATTATCCATGCACCCAGATGAGATTTACAAAGTTGCCTGCTTTGATTGTTAATGCATGGAAGAACAGAAATAAATAACCTCCTTTCACCTCCATACCTGCAGGAAGCTTTCTTGTTTCCTCTTATAGAATCATGGGAAGGGAAAACAGGATTACAATGGGCTTCAAGATGTCAGCCAGCATTAACTCATCTCTGTTTTGTGAACACCCAGCGGGCTGCAGAACATTAGATATGTAGACATTGCTTTACAAAAGACCAGACAAAATACAAGTAATAAATGAAGATTCACAGCTGAGCCAAAATAGTACTTCGCTTTTGACAGGAAGAAAGGTGTGGCAGCACAGCAGGGAAGGATAAAGGTTTCTTCAATCCTTGGATGAAAAGAATTGAGAAAAAACTAATCAAATCCATTTCTCCACAGAGAACAGAAGTAGATTGCAGTGAATACACAACATGGGGAGCAGCACTGTATAAGCAAGTCATTCCTGTGCTGTGGGAGAGAGGATATACTGACATGGCGTGATCTTTTTCTTGCATGAGAAGGATCAATATCCTAGAAATACACAACATGGCATCTTAGATGAACATTCACACCACAAACTTATCAGCAACCCACAAATGCTGAACTGTAAAAATTTGTCATCAGGTACTCGTCCCTACTGCTGGCTGCTCTGCTATTTGACAGGCCACATCTTTTTACACATCTCAGCAAAAATCCCAAAGCTGGAATAATCGCATACTAGATCTGGTAAACTCAATGCTCAGAAGAAGCTCCCCTCCTTACCTCCACTGCCGAGAACACACAATAAAATCCACCCTCAAATGAGATACAGAATACTAGAAATAAATTCAGAGCCTTAGAACTCCATAGCTATCCTGACAGAATCTGAGTAGTTTGCTTTCCTGGTACCTTACTTCAAGGTTCCTAGATCTTGATTCCAGTGGATGCAGAGTTCTGTCACAGCTGTGCATAAACTTAAATTCCCAGCACTGCAAATGGGCAGCACTGGCAACGAAGAGTAAACTACGTAATGAGTAATAATCATCTTATGTAAATGGCTTTGAAGGGAACTCAGCATGGCAAAGAACTGAATGGTTTGGTTCTCCTACCCAAAAATAGCAGAAATGGGACAACTCCCTTTTGTATTTCAGTAAATCCAAGGTAGAGCAATAATAGCAAATTTACACATGGCTGCTACATTTGTCCAGTAAACTGCAAGACCATTGTGTTTATTTTAATGTCAGATCCCAGGCATGTTTTATTCACTAGACTTACTTTTATCATTTTTCTCATTACTAAGTTTCTTCAGCCTTTTAAAATCTACCTTGTGGTAAAACAACTCTAATTTGCTGGCAGTGTTTAGAGGTACGGGATTAGTATAAAACTGCATGAAGAGAACAAGTTCTATTTTAAAAGGTAGTATTTCATTCAATATCAGTGCCTCAGTTTGTTTACATATCAAGTGAAAATGGTAACTCCCCCTGTTTTGGGAATAAATGTTTCCTTGTATTCATGTTTGCAAAGCATTTGGAAGACAGGCTGGTATGAATACAAATGATTACAGTTACAGTACCAGACTTCTGAAGTTTATTACTCTGATTATGAAGAAAAAACCGCAGGTATCCAACTGTGGTCTGCCCAAATGGCTGGTCACAAACTATAGCTGGAGGGTGTGGTGTGTATTTGGCCAACTTCTGTCCCTCACAGAAAAGCTATGAGAACCCATTTCTGTGAACCTGAATCTATTCTTGGTTAGAGTGGTACAGACAAAACAGTGAATCAGGATTAACTGTAACTGAGACACAAATCTGACCAATTGAGTCAAAATCCAGGACAGTTCATGTATCCGGGCTCAGAATAGCTCTGCTCTTCATTTCTCAGACAAATGTCTTCTGATGTAGTACACAGGAAAGGAGGAAGAACATTTCACTGGCAGTCTCTGCTACGTTTGGGACTAGCTGCACCTTTCAGAATTATCAATTTAATTCCATATTGGACCGGTCTATATTATCTACAGCTTTTTGACTTAATTACCCTGTTCATAGAGTGGAAGTAGAAGCGAGTACTATAAAAAGTGGATGGCTGGAACAAATAGCTGGCGTGATTAGGGGAGAGCTTACCTCTGCTTGTCCTCTGCTAAGAGCATTTCTTACATTTCCGCTCTACTTTAAAGCGAGCCCAGTTCCAGGCATCAATGCATCATGAGGCATAAATGGTTCCTCTTTAGGAAAAGTAAAAGCAGTTTTTCCTGTTTGTGAAATCCCCACGTCGCCAAGAACAAGAAATCTTTCAAAACTCTATCTTTGCTGTTCACAGAGCTTCACTGCCTTATAGGGTCTGAATCTCCTGGAATCACTCTGGGGGCGGGCTGGGAATGCTGACTTTTCCTCCTTCTGGGTGATTCTGGGAGGTCCGCAAGTGATGTCATGGTACATTTTAGGCTACAATAACAGGAAATCATCAAGTGTTTATACTGGCAAACTGGGCTGTGATGTGATTTTCCTCGTTTCCCCCTCCCTGCTTCACCCTTACCACTGACTTCCTTGGTATATCTGCTTCCTCTGATTAAAATACTACAAGGTGACAATACCAAAAGAGGAAAAAGGCAAGCAGGGGGGAGATATAAAGGCATGTTTTGAAGGGAGGTCTCTCCCAGTATCACTCACAAATAGTGTATCCTCACCCCCCGCCCCCTGCCGTACACATGGTGTGTTAGTACAGCTGCCCAGGCAGAAGTCAGAAACTTAGCCTGATGAGGCACTAGGATACAATCCTCCAGGCTGCAGATATGAAGAAGAACCTCTTCCCTCCCCAGCAGAGGTGAATCACAGAACAGACCTCAGAAAAGCCTTGTTTCTGAATTTCTCTGGCTGCAGAAACTGTGCCACACAGATGGGATTGAAAGTATATATATAAGGCTGATGGACTCCAAGGAAGAGGAGGCCACATTTCCAGTTTTGGGTCAGAGGAAGGATGCAGATTACCTATACTCGGAGTCCATACCACAGTGTGACACCCACACTGATTCTCAGTAAGAGGTCCTTGAGAGTGCTTGGTTTAGGAAGAATTTACATCATTGCTTGGACCAGGGATGTATTGCACAAGTCTTAGATATTCTGTCCTTGCCAGTTTCCCAAAGCTGGTAGAAAAACTAGGAATTTACAAGGAAGTTCTCTGAACACTAGGATTCTCTATAAGGAAAACCAGTATCACTGCTAGGCTTACCAGCTTTTGAGCAATTTGTATTTCTCTAAAGGGTATGACATAAATATATTCTTCTGGCTCATTGCCACTGCAGTGAACTAGCAGAGCTCAAAAAGCAGTTCTGAGCTGTGGGACACCAAGGAGACACTCAGGGTGGCCACCTCTAGAGTATGTACCAGGATGACTTGGAGCTGAAGGAGGATATACAAAGAGATAGAGGAGATTGGTCATTTACCGCAATGTGAAAAAAGCAGCAAATATTAGAGAAGTTCACTGAAGAGGAAGAAGCATAAGAAGTATACTTCAATATAAGCTGGAGCATCCTTTCTACACTCTCTGACAAGATTAATCATAAAATGCCTTTGGTTGAAAGGCCCAGGGCCCTATCCAACCTGGCCTTGAACACCTCTAGAGATGTGGCACCCACAGCCTTCCCAGGCAGCCTGTTCCAGCACCTCACCACCTTCACAGTGAAAAATTTTTCCCTGATATCTAATACAAGTCTTCTCCTCCTTCATTTTAAAGCCACTGTCCCTTGCCTTATCACAGTATTTTACATTACCACGCAAAAAGTTTCCCCCTCCTGTTTGCAATCTCATCTTAAATATTGGAAGCCTGCAATGAAGTCTCCTCAGAACCTTCTTCCCTTCAAGTGAACAAGCCTAACTCCCTCAGCTGTCCTCATAGGAGAGGGGCTCCCAGCCCTCTGAGCATCTTTGTGGCCCCCCCTCTGGACCCTCTCCAAAAGCTCCACATCTTTCCTGTACTCGGGGCCTCAGACCTCTTGCGTGGTACCTCACAAGAGCAGAGAAGAGGGGGACAATCCCCTCCCTCACCCTACTGTCACCTCTCTGTTGACACAGCCCAGGTTACTGTTGGCCTTCCAGGCTGCAGAAGCACACCAGTGGCTCATGTTAAATCTTTCCTCTACCAATACCCCTAAGACCTTCTCAGCAGGACTACTTTCAAGTTCCTCTCCCAGTCTATATACATATCTGAAGTACCTTATGAAACTGGAGAGGCAATCCCACAATAGAGTTTTTTTATTTTTAGCACAAAATGCACTTAGCCTGCAATAGGATATTACTGAGCATGCAGAATTTGCGCTGGTTCAGAAGAGGACTGGATTTTTTACTGGTAACAGGTCCATGGTGTTTTTAACAAACAGAAACAAAGACTAGAGCAGCAGAGTGCACAAACAAATTTCTAACCAGTTTTTCAGCCGACTGTATGCACTCACCCTGCTCCAAGGAAGTGGCACAGACCCAACAGGAACCCTGTCTCTTATTTCTTCAGGTCTTGTCTCCTTGTTTTCCATGGCACAAGAATTTAATGGCTCAAACTATGCGAAGATCCTGATAAGAGTCTTACATTTAGCCACTCTTGCAGATAAATATCTTCTCTGACATCATGTCAGCTGTCACAGACTTACACAAAGTTGCTTTTCGCTCTAATTTCTTCTATTTTCTGTGTATTCCTTTGTATTGTGTTGGCTGTGAATTCCTACATCTACAGCCACAAAGCAGCAGAAAGGACATCCCCTGACCCCACATAAGTGTCCTCTCTATCTTCCTTCGAAAATAGAACGTTGTGTTCAGAACGAAGAGTGCATAACTCCAAAATGAGAGATACCCATCTCCCAGTCACTGTCCTGTGGTAGGACTTGCTGTCTTAACTCTAACGTGAATTGTCCTAAGCCCAAACAGTATTTCTTTGGAGCTCTCTGGATCATAAGTGGCATGTCTGTTTATCCCTGCTGAGTCTCTAAGCGATTAGCCAGGCCTCAAGCATAGCTAATAGAAATGAAGACAGAAAATGAACAGCTTACCTGAGGCCACAGTTGTCCCAGCTGATAAAAGTCATGGAATCTTAGCTGATGCAACAGTGTTCTTTCTCCTTCATCTGTACCCGCCCTCTCCTTCTGTCTCATTCCACAAGAACTAGATGAACAAATCAGGAAGGGAAAAGGTGGAGCAAATAATTTCATTTCCATCATCTTTCTCTCCATTCATACAACATCAGCAACACCAGCAGCTTTGAATAAAGCCAAGAAATCTTCCAAATGGAAAAGCAAAAAGGCTGAGACAGTCACTCAGCAAAATCACCTGGATTATAGCATCTGTCTCAGAGCACCATGGCTGTGCTTGGTCTTTTTTGAAATTGTAGATCTTTGCTCAAAAACCTCAAAAGCAGATAGATAGGAACAGATTTAGAAAAAGAAACCAATACAGTCGGAGGCACTGACACTTTGCATCTATGTTGCCACCATGTTTGCAATTGGAAGAAGTCAGTGGAAGGAACAGGCACTACAAAAAAATGACCATTTTAATTTTCTCAAATACCTATCTCTGGGTAGAGGTAGGATGACACAACCAACAGTAAAGCAGCCTAAATTCAGGATGTCCGGGACCCGAACCTAACAGCAGTGTCCCAGTTTTGATAACTAGGTGAGTTTCACAGAGGTCAGTGAAACCAGCCTCTCCACACTGCTGGAGTTGAATTAGCCCTCCATTTATTCAATACGCTCAGGAGGTCTATGGCTTGTAAGCGTATCTGGTTCAAGGTGAAGAAACATAACAGAAGGTATTACACTTTGAAAACAACACAGTGAGAAATTGCTTCCTGTTTGTATTCAAAGTGATCCAGCTAACCTTGTGGCAATGGGCCAGGCACAAAACAGAACCATCTACCTTGGCAACAGATCCATCCTTTAGAAATTTCTCTTTGCTTTGTGGCACAGCTGAAGCACACTCTATGGATTAGGGCAGCCCTAAAGGCTTCTGAGTCTCCTACAAGACAGTCACAAGTTGCCTTCTTTTTCCCCCCACAAATGACAATTATTACTTAAATGGATTTTTAATAATCACTCTCATCCCTAAGAAGTCAATTCTCCAAACCTTCAAATTCCTAGGCCTAGAGCTGAGATAATTTTATGATTTATATATTACTAACATGCAGAATGCTGTTTACCCGAAGTATCTTCTGACTGAACAAACTTCAAAAAAAGACAATTCCAGTATGCAGCATGAAGATTCTGACTTCGGCACTTTGTAAATTGGCTGGATGTCCATTCTCTGAATGGAATTGTTATTCACTGGTCTATTCTCTAAGCTAATTGTGTTTTTTTAAGTCATTATTCTCCTGCTATATACAGCATTTTAACTTAAATGAAACCAGACTATTTCTTCAAGAACAATGTAACACCTACATTACCCAGACCACGTACAAGACGCTGAAAAACTTAACTCCATGCAGTTTTCTTTGAGCTGGTCTTCAGATATACATTCAACCCAACCGTTAAGCCCAGTGCCAAGTTCTCAGCAAGAGCAGATCCAGCAGAACTACAATTTCACACTAGCTTTGCCTTAACGTTGCAGCTGTAAATACTAGTTTCATGACAAATAAGACCAGACACTAACTGATACGACAGGAGGTACATTAGGACCCACACGGAGTTACATTGCACAGAAATGCCCCATTCTGACATTCACTGTGAGCTTCCTGTGCAGAAATGACTCTGCAGTACACGCTCAGAGAGCACCCCCTCCTGGGGGCAGCACTGAAAGCTGATCTCCTCAAATGCAGAAAACATCTCCTACGGAACATTTACTGAAAGATGGATGCACACCAGAGGGGGTGGCTGAACACAGAGATAAGCACTGCAGACAACAAACAATGAAACACTTCCTAAATTTGCAGCCAGTAACTTGTAAACCTCTCCATCAACCCCCCAACAGGATTTGACATAAATTCTCAAAGTGGGATTATAGCCTATGATGAATACTACAGATCACCTCCTAAACTGGGGAAAGCAGCCCACCTCTCCATATATTATTACCTTAACCCTGAAAGAGTGAAAAGGTTTTTCAAAGATAAGCCAGATATTTAACTACCACTTAACTCCACAGTTGAAATGTCTTCTTATGCCTGGGCTATGAGGCACTGGTTATCAGTTGATTCATTTCTACCCCAAAAGTTCAATTTCTCTGGCTACACTTTGTTATTCTGCTTCAGCCAACAGCAAGATGCCAGCTGTGCCTCTTGTATTTCTCAAAATCCCAGATTTTCTTCTTCTAAGGCTGTCCCACAGACATTTACAGGGCAGTGGAAATGTTTGGTCCTACAGTAGTTCATTACATAACTAACCATCTCAGCACTCCTATCAAAGAAGAACTTTGGCAGTCGGATGACAGCTGTAGATGT